CATGAATTAGGCGTAATAAAATTTTTATTTTTTAATTTTTTTAGGAATAATAAAAATTCAATTGAAACTTTTATTTACTTTGTAAAAAGATTCGCAATTTATAAGTAAAAAATTCTTGTTTTTTTAATATTTAAAATGTGTTTTGAATTTTGACCTGATATCCTTGTTTTTTCTCTGTGTTGGTCACAGACGTGAGCCAGGAGAGAGCGGGGTTGAATTGGACATCTGACTACGTTGTCGCATCCTGCAGGAAGCGTGACGTTGCCGCCGGCATCTGCAGCTCCCCCTTCGTCCATTTGCCACTTCCACTTCGCCCCCGGAAAATGGCAAACGGAATGCGAGAGGCAGAAGCCTTTACGTCAAGGAAATGACGGAAGCAGCCTCAGCAGCTGAATCCTCCGTCTCAGCTGCTCCGGACTGCATCTCCGGAATATGGACGCAGGACCATGGACGCAGGACCTGGGGGAACATCCTTAGAGGGCGCAGGACTCTGCTTTGGCAGGAAATCATCGTCCCATGGGAGGTAAATTAAATTCCATGCAAAGTTAATTTTTTTCACCCACACCCAGTGAGCGGTGAATAAGGAGGAGCTTAGTTCGGATTCCGGAATCTGGGCTGGTGAAGTAGTTCCATTTCCGCAATGTGGGAGGACGAGCGATTTATGGCTGGGTGGCAGATATGGGAAAAGTTTATAAATCAACGGAAACTTTGTCATGGCATTTCATGTGGTGCTCAAATATTAAATTGAACTGAGTGTATTGGTATAGATTGATGGGTCAAAGGTGATGAACGAGGTATTTACAAATGAATTATTTCGGGAATCTGTTAAGGAATTTGTAAGGGATTACTGAACGTTAGAGCTTATTTTAAATTTTTTCGATTTTCCGGTTAATTAATGGTTGTGTGAAAACATGATTTATTAACTTCTGTAATTTATTTATCCTCACAGCAGAAATGATTAATTCCTATTACGAGATTCCACTCGAAATGACCGACTTCCTTGGGACGCAATTAGAAAGATGTTACATCCTGCCTGGGATTGCCATTTCGCAACGATTCCACTTACCCAAATCCAGACTGGAGCGCATCTCTCTCTCGGAATCCAAGAATCTGTGAACCGGAGAAATATGGGGATGTGGGGTATGTCATTTACCTCAATGATTACCAGCCCCTCGGATCCACCGATCGGCAATCTATGGCCAATGTACCGCTAGATGATGAGCTGCCTGGACCATAAACAGAGATCCCAAATGCGAATGCGAAAAGAGCGGCGCTGTAATTGAGTTCCTCCAGCTGGAAATGGTCAATTGGCAAATAGCAGCGACAATAAATGAATCTCCAGCGGATCCGCCGAGCTGAGAAAGCCTGGCCCAAAGAGATTTGTTCGGCTTCGCCAGATTACGTGAAAGGTGAAAGTTGTCGAGAACCGCAAAACATTGGACAAAAGGCGAGTCGGGAGGAGCAGCAGGTGAAGCAGATACACGTGGATAAATGCAATCATTAACTAAATGGACTATCAACTAAAGTATATACATAATACTCTCTTTCTTGTCAATTGAAAAATTTGAATTTTTAAAAATTAAAAGTTGTAGATCTGTAGAAAATTAAATAAATTAAGATAACTAATCATATTGTGATCTCATTGGAATTTACAACTTTTAGAGTGCAGGTTTTTTTAAAGCCTTAAAATATGTAAAAAATTCCATTATAGTTTTCTTTAAAAGAATTTTTTTGATTTTTATCCCTTACTAATTTAATTTTTTCGAGTGCACAGTTGGCCATAGCAGGTCAGGCAGAAACGGTGAGAAAAGCGATCCAATCCCCGCCAAGTCGATCTGAACCGAACCGGACCCCACCTGTCGGCGACCTGTTGTCGGTGCAGATATTTCCGTAATCCGAATGTGGAACAGTGGCACAGTAGCCGCAGCAGTCTCCTCCATTTCTCCACAGCCATGGCCACATCTTCGCCATCGGCTGCATCTTCTTTAAACTGCGGCTGCGTTTCTTCCCCTTTTTGCGAATTTCCACCATTTATGGCGCATGTGCGCCGCGCAGTGCAGAAGTCGCTGAAACTGACAGGCAAGACATAAGACATCCACATCCACATCCAAGACTTCGACATGGAGACGACCCACTGGCTGACTGCTGGACCAGCTCCTCTCATCCCAGATCTCGGGACAGGTTACCATCTTGCGCCGCTTCTTCTTCCATGTTCACTGTCTTCTTTGGCGGTGCATTACCGCATTGCAAACCTGAATTCTTCTCGTCTTTCATTAATAATACTCTTTACGGGGGTTATGCAAAAACAATAATGGACCCTCTATAGAGAAAGCAATATTAATAAATATTTTGTGAAGTACTTTAAGTAGAGTGTTTAAATCTCATTTAAAATCGTCATTATAATTAATACTTATTCCGTTTTCAATATATAAAAATCGGATAAAAATAAAACCCATACTGTTTCCTTTTAACTCTTTAAGGCTTTACAGGTATTACTTTCGATATGAAAATATGACTTATAAAAATCAAGCCTTTATTATATTTAAAGTATAAGTCTTAAATAACAATATTATTATTATTTACTTACTTACTTTATTCATAACTCGTACTTTTAGTGCATTTAGCGATCACTTAGCTCCTATAAGCCCCATATTTCTCCTCGTTTCTTTTGATTTTTGGCATACCGATTCCGGATGCCGTCTCCCTCTTTCTCCAAATCTCCCCGTCTTTCTCCGCCCCTTTCTCCAGCCAACCAACTTCGGATTGAAGTCGAGTCTTTGGTGCAATGTGTGGTGGCAAAATAGATTATGAATGTAAGGCAGTGGGTGCCGGAGTCTCCCACTTGGAGTGGGTACCCACATCGGATTCAGTATCGCCATCGTTTTGACGGTAGCGTGTCTGTAACACTTTTTCCTCAGCCGCCTGGCAGTGTTTTGTGTCTTGGGTCTTGGGGCCTGAGCTCTCGTCTGCGGCTGCTCGAGGAAGTTATATAATCGAGACAACATCGCGATATGTCGGCAATATGCCTCAATCAATTTAACATTTATGAGCACGCCTGCACATGGAAAAAACCTTAACTGTCCAGAGAAATCTCCAGAGATTAAAACCATAGGAATATAACATTTGCCTACTGCCATGAAACAAAAATATAAAATGAGAAATAACAAGTGTACTTCATTTTATATTCATTAATTTTAAAACAACATTTATTTGAAACTAAAACACAACTAATAATTTAGTTTACATATTAAGAAAAACAAAAGATCCTTTGAATCAAAATGTATTTCATTTAAAATTCATTTTAAATTCCTAATGTGCTATTAGTAATCCCATAAACATATAAAATAAGAAACAACAAGGTATTTTATTAGAATTTCCACTTCCTAATTCGTTTTATATACCTTAATTTTAAAACAACATTTATTTGAAACTATAATACAACTAATAATTTAGTTTACATATTAACAAAAACAAAAGATCCTTTACATCAAAATGTAGTTCATTTCAAAATCCTTTTAAGTTCCAAATTTGCTTTTAATCATCCCATATTTTTTTTCTGTGTCTCCTGCCTTTAAGCCTGAAAGTTAATAACCAAAAAAATGCGAAACTCTCTGGGCTTCGTCGTTGGATTATGTGGGTGGGCATTCAGGTTGAGACGATCGGGTAAAGTGCAGGAGGAAAGAGTCGGAGGAGTGGATACCCATGTAACTGATCCGTTTGGCTGCCTACCGAGTTGTGTTTTTTCTCGTGCTTCCTCATGAAACGGCAGTTGCCGAGATTCCCATTAGGTGACCGATATGAGGATCAAGTGATCGTTTACCCAGACATCGAGGATCGATCAACCTGTTCGATTTCTTGTGAATTTATGGAAGTTGAATATACGGTTCAGTGATTAGCTCGGTTTTGGTTGGCCAAAGTAATATAGTTTTAATTGCATATGTGGGAAAAGTAGTATAAGGTATTGTGGAATATTCTTGAGATCATTTCCCATTCATATTTATAATTTTCTAGGCATTATAATTAAAATAAATTCCAGCAAAGGAATTAATAAAAGCTAGTACTTAACATACTTCCTGCAATGATTAAAAAAACACTATATTGTTCTGCATATATATACGAAACATAAAGTAACCTACTTAAAACTGGAAAGCCACGTTAGCAAAGCAACTTTTTCAATATTTACAAAGATGACCATTAAGTTTATCTTCTAGCCAAAGTACTTAAATATCTATGACCATCTCATTAAAAACACTTCCTCCTCACAAACGGCACATATTTGGCCCAAAGTGTTACAAGGTAATTGTTCAGACGGGCAACATCCAACACTTGATGATCGAAAAACATAAACCTATGGCTAGATTTTCAATTAGAGCCTCAGCACTTGCAAGTGTTGCCGCTCGTAAAATGGGAAATTTATGTTTTTTTACGATCGATTTTCATGTGTAATTTCCTTTTGTGCCATAAAGTCGATAAGCCATGTGCTAGGATAACTTCCTTTCCTTTGCCTTTCCTTTCCGTTCAGCCGCTGACTTTCCTGAAAGGTTCTCAGGCCACTCGATATCGGATGATGTGTGTTGCAACCTGCTGCAGCAGGTCTTTGTTCCTCAAAACACCTCCACCTCTGCACCACTCGTTTTTCAAGACCCCCGAGCGATCCTCAGTCTGCGTAATTAATTACACAGCATTTTCATTTGGAGTGCGAGTGTGTTGTGTTCCTTTCGGCTTCTCATTTGCTGCCATTTCCACGCCTCGGAACGTTCGATCTTCCATAGTTTTTGTTGCTTTTCTTGTTCTGGTTTTAAACGATTTCCAAGAAGCGCTCAAAGAGATCGAAGAAGACAGGAGGAGCGGATGTTGGGCACATTTTCCAAGCTGCCCCTCAAATTTAATGTGCGTGCACCAGCGGCAGCGACCATTTCATCCTCCATCCTAATTCTTCCTCTGGCTGTACAGATGCGGTCGCAAAAATAGCATCACATTGGTGGGAAATATCGGAGATCTAAGAGTTATCTAACACCGCAAAAATAAAAATCTATCTCTCAGTTTATACAAATATTCGCCTACTTTTTTGCGATGGACCATGAATAATTACTAAATAAACCATACTAAATCCTTTTTGTGCTCGTAGCAACTGTCCAATGGATATGAAATTTGGTATGTGACAGGAAATTGATTAAATATAACTACGAGTGCTTAAATATATTACACCTGTTTAGTAACTTGCTTGTTTTAAAGAATAACAATTGCATTTTTTTGATTTTTCAGTTCTAAAGATATATCCACTACTATCTCCATCTCTAATTTTCCATCAATGCCTGCAGGGCTCAGATGATGATGATGAGGCCCCCCTTCCATACAATTTCTTCTGTTCTTCTTGGTTAGTGCGTGTGTGTGCGTCGATTATTTAATTGATAAAGATTTCCACATTCCAGCGATGCCAGAGGGAAGCCAAACAGTGGACATGGGGGAACGCCGTCTCGGTTTATCCTGTCGCACAGGATCGGATCCCGACCTCATATCGAATCTCCGTTGCACAATGCCATCCACTTTCGATATACTCCGATCCACCCCAACTACCGACCACGGAACCAGCTGAACCATCTGAAATATCCAAAAGTGCACTGGAATAAGGAACTATATTTTGGTTTAACAATAATAGATTTTATATTCCCTTTAGATTTATAAAGGATTTGCTCAGAAATCGTTAAAATACAATATGAATAGTTCGTTATTGAATATTCCAAGATCTTTATTTAAGCTATTCTATATATAATTTCCATATCAACACTAAATTTTACCTCCATTCTCTATATTGTAAACCTATTGTAAAATATATATAATATTACAAAATATATATAGCTTAATAGTTTTTAGTTATTTTTTTCAATGTTTCGATGGTACTTTGAATTCCATCGGGAAACATGAAACCCGAAACCTTTCACCGTCATTTGCAGTGCGTTCTTGTGGTAAGGTGCTCTCGACACGCACACTCCCTTACCTTAAACACACACACTAGCACATAATAACACCAACACACTGATAAGACGAGGAGTGCTCAACCTGCCAACACTTGTGGATTGCTTCGATCTGCGATCACTTTTTTCATCCCTTAAGTGCACACTTGGGATTTCATATCCATCATTAGGGGAACCATGTAACAGGGTATATCAGATGGATGGATCACTAGGAAACAGGGATCCATTGCTGCGAAATTATAATGACATGAATTAATGTCCTTTTCACAAACATCACAAAACTTTAAAACAATTTAATAAAATTTGTGTTACGCATAACAAATCTAGAGTAACTTCATTATAGAAAATTTTACGTTCCACTTAGAATGTGCAAAATATTAATTAATAAAGGGAACCCAAAGATTATGCCATATTTTTAGCCAAATCTAGAGTCACTTCATTATAGAAATTTTATCCTATCTACTGAAAGTCCCAAAGAATGTGAAAAATATAAATTCGTATTGCAAACAAAAAAGTTTTATTAAGATAGGTAAGGGGAACCTAAAGATTATGCCATATTTTTAGCAATCTTAATGTTTTGAATAAGTATGCTTTCAAAATGACCCTTAAACCGGTATACCTAGGGTATCTTCCCAGTCGATAATCCTCGTCCCATGTTGCCCCTCCATCAGCTTGGTCGTTCTGCTTGGCTACGCTGCGTTTGGGCGCTAAGTTGGAACGATTCTGGGCTGCCATAATCCTAACCAGCAAAGCAAACGTCGCCAGAGATCGATATTTGAGCGTTCTTGAGCCCTGAGGTTCCTTTTCGATTCGATCAGTTTTCCGTTTTGGGCCTTTGTTCTCTGGGCACTCTCTTCCATAACTTCGAATCCAGACATTCGGGCAGGTTTCCCACGGTTTCTTCTTTCCTTTTAGCTGGGTGCACATTTCATATCCTGCAGACGCACAACTGTTAGGGCAAATCCTAAATGCGTGCGATGGCGGCAAAAATCTTACAATTACCCATTGTTGCCCAAGGGGAAAATGTGTAACAATTAGGCCAAGGCTCGAATTCAGGTCGAGGATCATTGCACAGGATCTCTGCGTAATATCCTTTTCAGCTGAAATCGAAGAGGAACACAATTCAATTGAGTTTAGGAAAGAGTGTAACGAAAAGGATCTGCCGCTACATCTTCCTGGCTCTTTATTTGCCTAATCCTGAAAAATTACAAAATGTTATGTGGGTGGTTTCGAGGGCGGACCCTATTGGATCCGCTTCTGCGGGGTGGGAAAGTTGTGTGCTCGGATACACCCTCATAAACCTCTTGGATAAAATTAATTATTGGGGAAACAATAAGGAGAAATAAATTGCTTTAAAAACTAATTAGCCAATTTGATAAAATACCGCTACACCATTTATTAATTACCAGGTCTATTAATATGCTTAATGTAATGCTATATATTAACTTCTGTAATCTGTGAGGTGGTCAAAAAAATAATTTTAGATTCCTCTAATCTTCGATTTTAATCTTTGATCAAATGTTTCCATTTAAACACCCTTCCTAATTAGAAATCAAACACTTTATTTGGTCTTATTTATGATCGCTAAAAGAAGTCTTTATAAATTTATTAATTTGAAAACTTTAAAAACGATTTCCCTATAACATTCTGATTCAGATATTTCCGCTCCAGACATCCATTTGTTTGTTCTTGTTTCACTAGACTTACACCTACTACACCTTCGAACCACCACTCCCCCCCACTTCCATCACTTATTTCAGTTTAGTAATTGGCAAATTACCAACAACAAATAAAAGGGGCAAAAAGCTAAGAACAAGAAGCAAACTCGCGTCTGGAAATACTTCCGCATCGGGAGGCGACTTTGTCAGGCTGCGACCAGACTTATTTATAGATCTGGGACTATACCATATAGTGCAGGGCATATATCAAATCGCTGGCTGTCTGGCGGGTCTCCTCACCATATATATGTATGTTCTTTTATTTATGTGCGGGCATATCTGTGTTTTGGTGTCTGATTCTAGAGCACAAGTGGATGCCACTTGGCTGCCTCTGGACATTGGCATTCTATTTTAATGAATTATCTGCACTTAGGCATCGAACTAAGAACTAAGAACTAAGAGCTGTGACTATAGCGATCACCCAAGGAAATCGAGGGGAGCTGCACAGAAATGTGGAGAGTGGGAGGTGGAATACCAGAAGTACTACTTGCAATGCAATGGCAAAATACAGACGTACAAATGCTGATTGGCTCAATTGGACGACTATTTGAACTCTGACCCCGTCCGATCCTCATCTGCGGCTCTTCCTCTTCTTCCTCCAGCGCCCCCACCATATTCTTCCACATTTCCCACCCTTTCACCCTGCCATTTCCCGCTGGGCGACGCACCATGACCGAAGCTACTAATTTGGGCCAGTGATCGTCGTTGTGGCGATCACTTGGAAACGTCGTCATCATCGTAGCTATCGATGGAAAAGACACCAGTCGGGGCACTTACAAAAATACACTTTGCAGATTCTTTTAATATTTCATTTAAGACAGTTGGTAATTATTGGAAAAAAGCGGTGTTAAAAATCAATTCGTGTTTCAAAAATATATACTAAATTTAACAATGAATTTAACTGAGAACTAAGAGTTGTGACTATAGCGATCAGCCAAGGATTGGTTTGATTAGAATAGGTATAATAAATCTTTTGTACTATGTAAACATATCATTCTTTACATCTCATTTATTATAGATGTTCACAATTTTATAGAACCTTATCGGAATAAAAATAAAATGACAAAGTTCTGAATAACTGTGGTTTTTTATACCCTTGCAGAGGGTATTATAATTTCAGTCAAAAGTTTGCAACGCAGTGAAGGAGACATTTCCGACCCTATAAAGTATATATATTCTTGATCAGCATCACCAGGAGAGTCGATCTAGCCATGTCCGTCTGTCCGTCCGTCTGTCCGTCTGTCCGTCTGTCCGTCCGTCTGTCCGTCTGTCCGTCCGTCCGTTTCTACGCAAACTAGTCCCTCAGTTTTAAAGCTATCTGCTTGAAACTTTCCCAAAAGTTGTCTTTCTATTGCAGGTAGTATATAAGTCGGAACGAGACGGATCGGGCCACTATATCATATAGCTGCCATATAACTGAACGATCGGAAATGCCATAACTTTGGTGTTTTTAAAGTTAGGAAGTTGGGATTTTCTATGAGTTTTATTTTTGGCCAATTAATCCGACCTACCGAATTTCATAAGGATCGGACGACTATATCCTATAGCCGCCATATAATTGATTGATCGGAAATGCCATAACTTTGGTGTTTGTAAAGTTATCAAGTTGGGATTTTCTATGGGTTTTATTTTTGGCCAATCAATCCGACCTACCAAATTTCATAAGGATCGGCCGACTATATCCTATAGCTGCCATATAACTGAACGATTGGAAATGCCATAACTTTGGTGTTTTTAAAGTTAGGAAGTTAGGAAGGACTTTTTAAGAGTATTAAGAATATATGAATATATGAATAATTTTGAAGAATATAATTTACAGAATATTCTGCAAGGGTATATCAACTTCGGCTCCGTCCGAAGTTAGCTTTCCTTTCTTGTTTTCTTTTGAATAAATGCAAAATACTTTCTTGAACTGCAGAACTACAGTACTAAAGTTTTGATTTCCTTTAATGTGTGTTATTTTCTTTAGGATATTAATAAATGAATTGTCTGTTGGGGTAATGGATTTTCTTCAAGTGCATGGCCACGGAACTGAGGGGCGGGCGTGGAGGGCGTGGGCGGGGTCGTCCGGCTGGTCGCCGTTTATGGGCATTTGACTTGAAATGTCAACGTTAACGCTGCTCGGGGAGAAACTGGTTAACCAACTGAGGCGACTCGAGACCCAAAGCGGATGCAGTGCAACTGAGCGCATCTTTAGACCCAACGACCAACAACCGACCAACCTGACGAGGAACCCATCCCCTGCCCCCTTTTCCAAACAGATTTCCAGTCGCAACAGAGCGGAAACGTTCCAACAATTTATAATTAAAGATTGCCAACTGGTTTCCATGAAGATTCAAGATTTATGGGATCGAAAACACATATCAACTAGCACCTCGATACATTTCGTATTACAATAGGAGGCTTTTTCTCAGGCGCGTGGCGCTTATTTTTTTCGGACAGGGGGGCGCATACATAATTATTTAAAATAGTTGAGAGCATTATCATACACTGATTACACTTTCAGGTATTTTCCTATCTATATAGATAGTACTAAAAAGCCAACGTTCGTTTATACGCGTAAATTTTATAGATTTTCAATGATGACTATCGACCGATTACTTAAATACAAAAAACTATAGGGAAAAAGTGTTAATTTTAAAATCATACAAGTGGCAAACGTTTGAAATTGCTTTATGGCTAAAACCCCTGTTTTTCGACGCCCTGGGCTGTCCTATCAGCATGATGTAGAAACTTTTGTTTAAACTTTATCTTTTATTGATTAACAACTAAATCGAGCGCCCCACGCGAATTCGAAGCCGCCCACAGCCATCGACTTCCTATTGAGTTGTTTCGTAGTAAACTGGGTGGATTTTTAAATATTTAAATTATTACCTTCGAGAGGTTGTGGTTTCTTTTGTGGCCAAGGGAGTGTAAAGAAATCTGTTAGTATTTACGCACCTAATGATTTGTTTGTGGTATGTACATACACAAGTCAAAGTACAATAGCATAGTATAGTATAGTATACCCAGATTAGGAAAATAAAAAGCATTCTTTAATGCGAATATTGTGAAATAATTCTGGAATTTAATGGCACAACTAAGGCTCTTTAGCCTTGGCTTCAGTTTAATATTGATAATTTTGTTCTTGTGAAATTTTTCTTAAATAATACATTTTTTTGATATTTGTTTTTTCTTTTCTTAGGTAAGGTAAGATTTTGATTGTAGGATTTTAAATTTAATTTGTATTATTAATTATCAATATTTAAGATATAATTACTATGGACTGTTATTTCCATAATTCATTTATAAATTTATGTACATTTATTTATGCTTTGCTGTTTTAAGAAATCATACTTATTTAATTAAAAACGTTCTTTTTGCTAATGTTTTAAATAAATTTTACAAAACAACATTTTAAAAAACATCACAGTCTGCATTGCAAATACATTTTTAATAACAACAAAAATATTAGTTTTAAAAATTATAAAAGACAATCCAAAATTTATGACAACCTCCACTGTACTTTAAATATATATGTCTCCGATTAAAGATATAAATCTTGGACAGTTAAACGGATCAAGACTTCCTTAAATAATTATCTTATTTTCGTATTCTTCAAAAGGCGAGCAAAAGAGAGAAAACCCGCTCTTTTTTCTCTCTTCCTCTTTGTGCTCTTTCACCGTTCAGTCGACGCATGCGCTGGCTGAGACGCCGCTTGGTTCGCCGTCTGGTTGACGTTCGCATTCAAAACGTAAGTCAAAACGTAAGAAACTGTCGTGGGAGGCGGACGTGCTCAAGTGTCGCTCCAGAAAGCAACTAGACATTCTGCTGTAAATGCCAAACTAATAAGATTTAAATTGATTAATTCACAATTAATAGAATTTAATTCGTGCGCGGCGTTGATGAATATAACGGTTGTTCGCCCCGCAGCCGACTTAACTCAGTGTGTTTTCCCGCAAGTGCAAGAGTGTGTGGGTGTGCGCGAAACGGAAATAAGAAATAAACAAGAGCGACAACAACAACAACGCAACAAGAAGTGTAAGCAAAAGTGAATAGGAAGACGAAAGAGGAAATGCTAAAGTACAACAACAAGAAATACACGAACAAAACGTCAGAGTGCAAGTGCATCGCGTGAGTGTCTTACAGTGTGCGTGTGCTTGGGTTTGCATGTGTGTGTGTTGATGAGGCGGCGGAAGTAGAAATATTTTGACTTGTGTTCTTCTGCATCGCCTTTTTATTTGCTCCGCTTTGCGGCTGGCATTCGTCGCAGTAAACGAAACGAAAACAAAAACAGAGAGCCAGGATTAGCCCCAAAAGCACGAGCAACCACCGCCCACTTACAGCCCACCGCCCCCTTAAAAAAGAAACAACAACAACAATGGCCACTTGGCGCGACGCCCTCTTCGTCATCAGATAACAACAAGAAAACCATCGAATTAACCAGCGACAAAAGCAAAAACAAAGCAAAGCAAAAAGTTAAAGCATTCTGGGATCTGGACATAATATCCGCTTCCGCGTTGCGTTGCTTCTGTCGCAAAAAAAGCTCAAGAATCGAAACGCAAACAGACAAAATCACTCACAGTACGTCACCACAGGCACAGTGGAGCAAACAGGTAAGAAAGGGATGAAATATTATGCGTGTCTATTGTGACTTAGCATCATTTATTTATGGATAGAAATTTATTGGTGCGGTTCTTATATGTAGATTGGGTTGGTAACAAAAAAACTATATCAGGGTGCACTAAACTACTTCTATAAGAATTTTCTTATGACATTATTTTTGTCATTTCAATTAAAAAATCATAATGATTAGGATCGCAGATTTGGTAACAACAAAATATTTAAATTTAACCTAAAGCTTGCACTATTATAAGTCCAACATCTTCCCTTAATTGAAGGAAACAGTTTAAAATAGTTTAATTTAGCTGTAATAGATTTTAACTTGTGCAGGAACCAAGTCATAAAAGGGCCTGACTTCAATTAGTGTTACCCGCCGTCATCTTTGGCATATTACAAAATTGTAAAAATTACTATCTTTCCCATTACTACGTCACAATGGTCATGAAAACAGAAAACTGTCTTGTCTGAGCAGCTGATAAATAATTGCTCCACCTTAATCTGCGGTTGGTTATCTGCTTAATATGACTTTCCCACTTCGCTTAACCCAGCTTCTTACAATGTTTGAGTTTTCGGTCTCTGGTTGAGGTCAACAATTGGTCGGATCTACACGTGTAAACAGATAACTTGGGGCTATATTTGGAGCGTACTATATACGAGATGGAAGACTCAGCAACAACGGTTTATCTAAGTTCTTTTTTTTGATTTATTTGCATGTTATTTTAGAGGATCTGATTGTGGCATTTTCATTAGGGCTTGTTTAAACATGGGTTACAATTTTATGGGGATCTTGGGATATTTTGGCTATTTTGTTATACTTACATTTTCGTTAAGTAGCTTAGTTAAGAGTTAGTTATTATTATCCTGAAAATACCATAGGATTTTGAAATATGTATGTTAGATTTAACAGTGTCCAGATATTAATACTCATAAAATAATGTTATGACACCAGAATATAACAACACTGTTCCATAATTAATTAATGACGGAAACTTGAACTGAGAATTCTTATGGTTCAGACCCAGTATATATTCTAATAACAAGCTTTGATAGCAATTTCTCTTCCTATATTATTCATATACATACATATGTACTATTTGGAGTTGTATTGAATGCATTTTACGCTTGACTGATTTCTTAGCATTCTACGATATAAACAATATCGATTCATTTGGAAAAAAACTTTTCCTATTCACATTCCACTCCATGTTACGGTACCTAGGGTGCTTTGGTAACGCCTGTTGCATCACAATAGCCAGCTCCGAGTTTTCCTCCTCGAAAAACGGTAATTATCGAGAGCCCAGTGCATGTCTTGGTCTGCAAATCGGTATGCTATATGTTATAGAACCGGGCATTTGAATGGTTCTCTGTTCGGTTCACGAGTCTCTTGTTGCATGCACTTTTCTATGGAAGTGAAGTGAAACAAAAGCAGAGCGTTGAGCTCCAATTAGGGTGACTCCGCAGCTCTGGCTCACGTCAGCGAAATCTTATCGCCGGGGCGCTATGGCGAAAAGAAATACTCATACTCGTAGTCATATAAACGTATATGTATGTATGTATATAAAAAAAAAGTAAAACAGCCAGTAGAATTGTGTTTATTTATTTGCCTTTGCCGACCGACGACGTCGAACAAATCAGCCAAACAGTTCCTGCTTCTGCCGCAGATATATGGCATAAGTATACATGGGTTTTCAGGGGGTCCGGTGGGGGGCGCGAACTAAACACACACCTGATCGTGCGCCACCTCCGTTATTTTATATTTTTCCTGTAGATGAGAACAGAATTCTCGCCAATAAATTTTATTATGTGCAAAACAAACACACACAATTCGGGTCAGAAAAATAGATCTAAGGATGGCTGTTTTTCTATTAGTAATTAATGGAAAAATTTGCAATTTTTCATTTTGATTTTGCAATCTTGACGATTATTATTTTTAAAAATAATAAAAAATATATATATTCAATGTTATAGGACCAGAAATATTAAAACAAAATTTCGGACACAACGTCTCTTGATTTTTCAGTTTATCACTTACCTGTTCATGACTGTAATTACGGATGTATTAAGATCTGTTCCTCAACAAATTTCTCTCTTCAATTAGCGGAAAACGAAATAAAACTCGTAGAAGCTGCGATTTTGCTTTGCAGTTTTTCTTTCCTGGTTCTCTCTTTCTGCCCCCTTTGCCGGCCCATTTGCCACCCCCCGAAAGACTTGGCCTGGTGACCAGCCGGCGGCAGAAAAGCAGCAAAAGCAGCGTAAATACAATAAATTAAATTCACTTCCGCATTGCTCCCAACAAAAAAAACAACGTAATGGGGAATGGGTGAATGTGTGTGTGTGGGGAAAGACAAACGACGTAAGAGAAAGAGCGCGGCAAGTGCACGGAAGCGAAAGAGCGGGTCAAAAGTGTAAGCAAGAGAGGGAGAGACGATCGCAAGAAAAAGAGGAAGGTGGAGAAGCAAAGCAAACAGGTATAAAAACTGTTGATCTTGGGGAAGAGAGGAAGGGAGATGGAGCAAGAAAACATCGACCTATTCCCTCGCACATACACACTCGCAGAGCAACTGACTCACTCACACTCACACGTGCAAATCACAGCCAAGACAAAAAAATAAAAAACAAAAAGTATAAGCGGCGGCAAAATAATGAAAGAAAGAGGAAGAAATCGCCAAGCAGCAGCGCAAAAACAACAATAAAAAACGCCTTAAAGCGGCTGAGATATTAACACAAAATGCCGAACAAGCAAAAAGAGCATGAGTATGTGTGTGTGTCGCTGTATTTTTTCTTAGTTTTTATGAAAGACACGACAACCTCTTCAAAAGAAGGGTCAGCTATTTGACAGATAATATCTGATTAAATGATTCACTAAAAATATTTATTCTGATTTAAGAGTAATCAAATTGGTTTTGGTATTGTTTACAAAAATGTAATCAGTTTTATTTATAAAAAAAACTATGATATGGTAACCACAAAGGAACTTTTTATCAATTAAGGTCACTTAAGGGTTAAGGCCTCAAGAATGTCGCCAGCACACTCACACACTGATAAAGCAAATGCATTTTGTTGTGGTCTTTGTTTTTCCTGTTGTTGGGGCCACTGGTTCTAAAGTTTTTCTTCTTTTTCTTGCCATTTCGCTTCCTTTTTTCTATGTATGTATGTATTTCGCTTGTATTTGTTGCATCTCTTTCTTGGCTTTTGTTGCTGTAACTTGCATGCGGAAGCTTGCATTCAATATAAATGCCACACATTTGCGTACATACAGAAATGCATTTAAACATATCCATACATATGAACATATGTACATATATTGTTGTTATCGCCTAGCAGATGTTGCTATTGTTGGTTGGTGTTTTTGTACATTTGCATTTTATAAAGCTGAGAACCAGCGAACCACTTGTGCGTACTATACATACTTATGTACATGCATACATCCCATTGTAACCCATTTTATAGTGCAACGAAATCACACTAACCTGAATTTGCCATAAATGCTGCCAGCTTCCATTACGTCGCGTCTCAAATTCGCCAAAAGAAATAAAGAAAGTAGTGCAAAAGGCAGGCGAGAAAAGCAACAGCAACACTCCAATCAACGATCGTGCGAATTTGCCATTAAAAGCGGTAAAATATACACTTCCCTCTTCTTCTTCTCTCTGTCTCTTTTTACCTGGCAACAGTGGGTGAAGTTGGGGCTTTTCTTAGGGATTTTCCATTAAGGATATTTGTCAGAGTACAGTGGACATATCTGTTGCATACAGAACACTGCTCCAGCTCTTAGAAAACGAATCACAATTTTTATTTTATCACAGATATATCCGATAAATTGCAATTTTATGTGACTAAGGCCCGTTTTCTGGAGTTTGGTCTAAGCACGGGAAAAACTGAACCGTAAAATAAATCAAAAATCAAATTTATAAATAAAAACAACTTTCCTGATATCTGATAATAAAAAAAATTTTTTAAATTATTAGTTGCTTATTGTTATTATCGTTATTCAAAATTTTTTTAAAGAAATTGAGCTGACTGCCTCTTCTATTCAAATTTATATCCGTAACTTTCAGATGCAATTCCTTAGTTCTGCACTTGCATCTTTTCAACGATCTCCACCCAACTGGCGTCCCATTCATCTTGCACTTCTGACAATTTCCCGCAATCTTTTCTCACGATCATCATTTCCCCATGTTTCCCAATTTCTGCCCGCACCGAAAACCTACTAAAACATAGTACACTAATACTCCGCTAGAGTAGTTTTTGTTGTAGCCAGAGCTGTCTGGATATCGCTATCTCTATCTTTAGCGACTCTACCCGTCTCTTTTGCCTGTCTGAGTAACCTGTTGTGTGAATTATGTTACGAACGTAACGTGTTTCAAAATATAGGAAGTCTTGGTTGAGTTATAATACTCCGCTCAACTCGACTTTGGTGCTTTAACGGTGACTTGCTATTATCTAACTACAAAGAGGTGGAGAGGGAGAGAAAGAGGGGTTGAGGGAAAAAGAAGCGAACGAAGCGAAGCAACAAACAGAAAAAGCAAACACACAAAAATTCACCGCATTTTGCAGTTTGTGGCACATTTTCCTTTTGGCACACATACGAAAATGGAATGGGGGGTTAAAAAATAGGGGGTAGTGGGTGGCAAAAGGGGGGCAAAAGTACATCAAGCAAGAAGTGGAGTAATGTTGTGGAAAGTCGCTTTTAAGTCGTCGTCTGTCGATGCAACACAATTAGGTAATTTTCCTTCTTTCTTCTTATTGAACTCCCCTGGGAGGAGTAGGCGGGTGTAGGGGGTCTGGGGAATTGCGTGGCGGATAACGTAACAGTTTTGGGTGCACCTAGCTAAAGCTGATGGCGTAACGCCAAAAAGGAAGTATCCGTAACGTTTGCCTATCGAAAGAGATAAAACCAGAGACACGCAGAAACAAGGAAAAATTCGAGCTGGAAGACAGTGACTGACGGTACGGGGGGTACGGGAGTTACACACCCAAGTTTTATAACCTACGA